ATGTAGGGTATAAATCAGTTTTAACAAAGTGTTCCAAATGAAGTAAATTGAAAATACCACCCAATAAAGCAAACAAAAAGCTGATGTATTCTTCAGATATCATCCAAGCCTTTGACACCAAATTTCCCATGGTCAAAAAGCCATGGTTATTTGGCTCACTGTCAGGGCCCAGCCCTTGTTCTGTGACAGGCCCAGGGGGATCCTCCTAGTCGCTGGGGTATCTAGTCCCAGTCCAAGATCCTCAAACTCACTGAGGGGGCTAAACCTTCTCAACCTCCTCTACAAATGGGAGCCAGGAACTATACAGTTTTCAGCTCTTTGTTGACTCCCCATAAATGGCACCCCCCCGTGGGAACGAGCTGCTCACCCAGAAAGTTCCCACAGTTGTGGCTGTGATGGTTTCTGGGTGAGTAACTTACCCAGAACTTTCCCATGGGTCTGCATGCATGCGGGATTGTGGAATAGTGAGGGGCTGTGCCCTGACACTCACCAAAACATGGTGGGAGACTTTTCTAACACTGAAACATACATTGCTACATTGCCCCACTTTGGCACTTTCCAATGCACATTGAATTATCAAAAAAGTGAATTAATTTTTTTTCCAATTATTCCTAATTTCCTGAAATATCTCTCCCTAACTTATCCCAAAATTTCTGATTTTCCCCCTGATTTTTTGGACATTCTCCTTTTTTAGAAAGTCCCCCATTTTCTGAATTTTCCTTAATTTTCCCTGACTTTTTTTCAAGTTTTTAGAAACCCCCCAGTTCCCCCTCATTTTCCTCCCATTTTCCCCTTCATCCCCCCCCTCAATTTCCCCCCCATCCCCCCCTTCGATTTTCCCCTCATTCCCCCCCCAATTCCCACCTCAATTTCCCCCCCATTTCTCCCCCATTCCCCCCTCCAAATTTCCCCTCATTCCCCCCCCCATTCCTTCCCAATTTCCCCCTCATTCCCCCCCCATTCCTTCCCAATTTCCCCCTCATTCCCCCCCATTCCCCCCTCAATTTTCCCCTCAATTCCCTCCTCAAATTTCCCCCCATTCCCCCCCATCCTCCCTCCAAATTTCCCCTCATTCCCCCCCCATTTCCCCCCTCCATTTCCTCCCCCATTTTCCCCCTCATTCCCCCCTCATTCCCCCCTCCAAATTTCACCCCATTCCCCCCCTCCATTTTCCCCCCACTTCCCCCCTCAATTTCCTCCCTCATTTCCTCCCTCATTCCCCCCAATTCCCTCCTCATTTCCCCCTCCAAATGTCACCCCATTCCCCCCCTCCATTTTCCCCTCATTTTCCCCCTCATTTCCCCCCTCATCCCCCCCTCCAAATTTCCCCATTTCCCCCCTCATTTTCCCCCCATTTCCCCCTTTGATTTTTCCCTCATTCCCCCTCCCAATTCCCCCCCATTCCCCCCCTCAATTTTCCCCTCATTTTCCCCCCCATTTCCCCCCCATTTCCCCCCATTTCCCCCCCACTCATTTTCCCGCATTTTCCCTAAGTAATTTCAGATTAACTGCATTTATATCCCTAAATTTGGTCTATATATTGATTGGGCTACATACCCTTGGTGTCTGGTGCCGCATTGGTGCTGAAAGTGAAGCTGAGTTTGTTCAGTCCCTTGTATGGTAGGGAGTTGGCTATGGCTAGTCACATGATGCCATAGTCAATGCTTTTAAATTTAAATTTTGATATCGGGTAAATTAAACACTCAGGGAGCTCATATAGATAATAGTCCCCTGTGTGCAAATATAGCTCTATGAGCTCTCGGAGCTTTGACTACTTTTTGGAGCTCTCAGAGAAGGGGACCTGCAATTTCAAAGTACTGAAGCTCTGAGAGCTCTGAGAGCTCTATGAGCTCTATGAGCTCTCAGGCCTCCGCATCCAGGTTTGCTGATGCTCTGTTACTCCTCCGCCACCCTTCCGCCAAGTTACGACCTTCCACTGCTGTTCCGTACTTCACACTCGGACACCGCTCATACCTTACTCCGAGCCTCCGTCATAGTCCCTACCTCGGACTTTGACTCCACCTCGGTCTTAGTCCATTGCATTGGTGACCTCATACTACGTAAACACCATTGCCAATATCCCTCGGACTTTCAACCCTGCCTCCGTAACCTCCGTAAGCTCCGCAACCCCCGAGCTTCACGGATCGCCTTCGGCACCCTCGCCGCTTGTAATGTATTTCTTGCATTTTCCCCTCACCCCTATTTGGACTACTGCTTCTTCCTATTCTAGCCAGTTAGTCATCATCCCCACTTCCCCTCATCCTCCTGCCCCTCTGGGCATCGCCCTCCCTACCTCCTTTCGGATGTATCACAGGTCCTGCCTTATGACCTTCGGTACCTCTCCGCTCCTTCTACCCTTTGTTCCCGTTCGGACGTCTTCGTTCCGATTCGGTTACCCTTTGTTTTCCTTGTGCTTTTGCCCCTTCCATTATATATATCGGCGCTTGTACATACTCGTTTTGGTTTAGTCCGAAATCGACCTGAAATGCCCCCTAGAGACTTCCTGCTCACCTACTGTGAAATTAAGGACCAAATGGACAAACAGCAATGGCACAGCGCTCCGCTTGAGTCGCTGAGGCCAAGGTCCCTCCACGCTAAGTCTCCGATTCCACTCCAGAGTCGTCTGTTTCCGCCCGTTCTAACAGAATTAGCCAAAACACTCGGATTGGTACTATATTTACAATAAATAACACTAGTACACTTCCCCATCCTAACTAAAGAACCAGGGAACAGCTTGGTGGTGGTCTCGTTTGAACCTCCCAACTGACCTTCCTTCGTTCTCTCCTTCACCGCTTCGCTGTTGCAAACCTCGGACGGCAATCCCTCATCATAGGGCACTCATGGCTGCTCCACCACAACCCGGAAGTGGATTGGGCACGACAGAAAGTCATCATGTCCCGCTGTCCATCATCCTGCCAGCTACCACGGGCGTTAGATGATCAGAACCCTGAGCTAGAGCCTGGGGATGGGATTTGTGCAGCAATCATCCCCCAGGATGGGGCCACAACCTGAGGGCGACCACGACACCCTCCCAGCGGATGGCCCAGGAAGCTCGCAAGCCGGATGCAGAACCTGCATTGTTTGAAGAGCTGGTACCAGACCACTACCAAGACTTCCGGGACGTGTTCTTGAAGGAGGCCTTCGACTGACTGCCCGGGACCACGCCATAGACCTGGTGCCAGACGCTAAGTTTCCCCGAGGAAAGACCTTCCCCCTCTCCCACCTGGAGCAGAAGGAGCTGGACGAGTTCCTACGTGGGAACTTACAGAATGGACGCATCTGACCATCCAAGTCCCCAATGGGGGCCCCAGTCTTCTTCATTAAAAAGAAGGACAGGTCGCTACGCTTGGTCCAGGACTACCGGAAGTTGAACGAGATCACCATGAAGAACTCATACCCACTCCCACTCATCTCAGACATCCTTGCCCACCTCTGCAAGGCTAAGTACTTCTCAGCCCTGGATCTGCGCTGGGGGTTCAACAATGTCCGGATCAAGGATGGGGATGAGTGGAAGGCAGCATTTGCAACCAACCGAGGGCTGTTCGAGCCCATGGTGATGTTCTTCGGCCTGTGCAACTCCCCTGCAACCTTCCAGACGATGATGAACAACATCCTCATCTTCACTGCCACCCTAGAAGAGCACCGGAAGGTCGTCCAGGAGGTCCTAGAGACATTGTGGAGGAGGAAACTCTTTCTAAAGCCTGAGAAGTGCAAGTTTGAGCAGACAAGGATCGAATACCTTGGCCTTGTCATTTCTGAGGGCAACATTGCAATGGACCCGGTGAAGATCTGTGGAGTCCTCGACTGGCCAACCCCAACCAAGGTGAAAGAGGTACAATCCTTCTTAGGATTTGTGAATTTCTACTGTTGGTTTATTGAGGATTTCTCTGAGAAAGCATGACCCCTCCACTCGCTGACCCGGAAGGCCCAAGCCTGGAGCTGGGGCCCAGATGAGGACCGGGCCTTCCATGCCCTCAAAGAAGCTGTCACCTCTGCCCCCATACTCTCCTTCCCCACGGACTCTGGCCGCTTCAGGCTCGAGTGTGACGCCTCCAACTTCGCGACCAGTGCAGTCCTCTCCCAGCTCCAGCCAGATGGAGAGTTCCACCCAGTAGCGTTCATGTCCAAGAGCTTTACAGACGTTGCAAGAGGGCTAGCGGCTCTCAGCGCCAACCAAGCTCGTGGGGGAAACTCTCCACAAGAACTCCTTTCTCCACTGGCCTCGATCCTAAAACTCCGGGAAATTCTCCGGAAATTCCGCAAGGTCCGGGCTCAGTGTCCACTACCCACTCTTTGTGGGTTAGACGACTGCCCTTACTCCTACTGTTGGAACTTCTAACACACTCACACTAACTCTGACGCGTCCTAGCGCCTTAGAGAAATTTAGAGGAGGGGAGAACTTAATTTTCAATCCCGGTATGTACAGGATTATAAAGAATAAACATTTTTAGAAATGATTGATGGGAAATATTGGCGCCATATGGCTCCTGGACCCCATCGTAAGCGAAATATTTGAAAAGGGCATCAAAAGAATAAAAGAATATCATCCAATATATCAAAATGATGGTAAAAATGTGAAAATATGAGGAAAATCGGGAATTTATCAATGATTTCACAAAATTAGTACCCGAAACTGGAAATGTGGCTGGGAATAACCTTTACGCGGCTAAAGAACATTTTTCCCAATTTATTTGATGCCTTGGGAATGTGTGAAGCATGCTTTTCTGACTTCCCGCTTGCCTAAATTGAACTTCCCACGCCCGCACATGACCAGATCCCGTGACCCGCGCCGTGGCCAACCTCCCCAACACTTAACTCCACCAAATCTCCACCGATTGGGACGATCTTGACATCGACGGATTCGCAGGAATTAGGAGTATTTTTAGGTACCAAGTTTGTATCGAATTATAGAACGAATGAAGATGATTTTTGAATGGTGTAAATGGATATCCGAGCCGGCTCTGCGTGTGGGCGATTATCCCGCCTACATACAGGCCTAGCTCTTATTGTGGTCCCTCACAATGCGCTTGAGGTTCCTTGCTCGTCCTGCGAGCGTTAACAACTTGAGTCCAAACATAAATATCTCCCCATCCCCGTATAAATATTTCCAAACAATTTCCCGTCCTCAACCTATCGTACATGGTATAGCTTTCTCCACTAAGTCCTAGTCTTCTTGGACTTCCTGCCTCCTGCGGCCGACCTATTCGCCTCACCACTCATCATTTGGTCGTCCTTGAAGGACAACTTCCCCTTCGCGGACCCCGAGGTTTCGGCCTCCAAAGGCCTCACCTCGTCCCTTTCCCTGATCTGTTCTTTCTCCTTCCCTTTCAACGCCTCTTTCTTCTCCTTTTCCAACTTCTCCTTCGCCCTCTGATTCCTCACGACTCTCCTTGCCTCCATCTCTCGTTCTGCCGACCTCTCCCGACGAAACTGCTCTTGCGCCAAGTCCAACTCGGTATAGTCCATGGGTGGTAGGATGGAAGGGAGTGGGAATATCGTCCCCCACGCATCCCATAACAACCGCGTGTATGCAACAAAGTTGCGGTATCGAAAATCCGTCGTAGAGATTCCGTCTCCTATCCTACGTTGCATTACCCCTAGACATTCCAGGACGATGAAATAATAATCGTCGTTCGTCAACTCTTCTTCGTGAGTCGCAGTGAACATCTTCTCCACCGCGCGTGCCGCATCTGCCGTTCTCGTGAATTGGAGCTGGAACCGATCGTGCATGAGTTGGATCTTCGTGCCCGATTCCCTAAGTCCACCCATCAACGTCGTAGTCCGCTCGTTGAGATGGTAAATGAGAGTTTCCTGTTCCTTCAAGGCTTCGTATAAAAGCTTAACCCGCTCATCATGTTCACTCTTGAAGTTCCGCCCCATCTCCAGTAGCTCGTCCGTCCGTTCCCTAGCCTCCACGATACAGTCCACAACATCTCTACTGGCCGCTATCATCGGCATGTGGGGGGCCCGCTTCAGTGACTCCCTAACTTTGTTCTTCTCTGCCGTCCTCTCATCATCTGCCTGCCTCTTCTTCTCGTCCTCTTTCTCTCGTTGTTGCTCCTCTCTTATCACGTCGGCAAAGGAACGTTCGTCCTTCGGCTCATCAGTCAGTGGGGAGGCCCGCGCCGTCCACGGTCCATCGCGCTTCTTCCAATCACCATCCTTAGGTGAGTTGCCCCGCCTCCTCTTATTCGCTCGCCTACTCGTGTTCAGATCTGGTGTTCTCTCTTTCGACTTCGGCGAGGAGGAGATGGGTCCCTGGTTCAGTGGGGGTGTCGCATTCCTTCGCCTCTCCGCCTCTAGTTCTCGTCTCAATTGGGCCACTTCCGCTGCGTAGTTATCGATCTTCTGAGCTATCTCACGCTCAAACTTAGGCTCCGTGGGCGCGATTCTAGGAGGTGAGGAATTTCGCCCAGGTACAGGAGGTCGAAGATGGGGCGGACCTGACAGTCCTCCTAATCCACGACTTCCTTTCTGGTACGCGGATCCTCGTTGCATTGGAAAATTCCTGTCTGGCTTAGAGGCTCTCGCAGCGTTCACTCTCCCTGAGTCGTTGGGGTGACTGCTCTCTGCCACGTTGCACTCAAAAGAAAAACTGCGCGTTTTTATGCTCCCGTTCTCATCTGAGACCGTCTCCATAGATGGCATAGTCTGTGTCTCAACGAGTTCGATCACGTTGCCGCCATTCTGAATTGGTGGCTGCGCTGCGCTTAGCTTCGGTTCCGAGGGCGCTACGACTTCTATCTCTGGGTCGCCCAACCCTAACATCTGATCTGAACTTTTCTGCTCTGAATCCACGACGATCGGGAAGGAGTGCCAGGGCATGAAGTAACCACGCGGGCCGTACGGATTCCACTCATAGAGTTCTGGCCGCCCGCTCGGTTTATTCTTGAATCTGACCAACTCCCCATCTTCACCCGGATACGTCTCGTGCCTAAAGTCCCAAAACTGGGCATCTTCCTCGATAAACTTCTCTAACTCTTGGTCTGCTTGGCTCGCGATCGCAAGCTCAGGGTTGCTGGGATCGCTGATTCTCAGCTTCATCCTCCTATGCTTGTCCGCCCAATACTTCTCTGCTTCCCGTCCCTTAAGCTCCCAGGGATGTGGCAGTCCTACTCTCTTGGCTTTGACGACGTTTACTTCGTTCGTTCCCTCATTGTCGTCATCAAACTGCTCGTCCTCTGGCATGAGACGCACATTCCGAATAACGGGCTCCGTGCTCTTACGGAAGTGGTAGAGCTTGATTCTCTTCCACGCAACTGGGCGCTTAAGAGTCGTCCCATCTAACTCCTGCAGTATGAACGCGCCAGACTGCAATCTCTTGACGACGACATAAGGACCAAACCATCTAAGGTGCCCTTTCATGTCGTGTTGCATCTTCATGCGCTCGTTTGAGACTAACACCAACTCCCCTTTCCTGTACTCTCCCTTAAACATTCTCGCTGCGTGCTTCTGATTGAAAGCATCTGCGACGCGCTTCCTGGATTCATACGACGATGTCGCAGCCTTCGCAAGGAATTCTTCCCGCTGGGAGAGCTGCCTTATCCTCATCGCTATGAGATCTCGGGTTGTCGTCACGGATGGCCAATCCAACGCATGGAAAGTCCGATCTGTGGCATCAAAGGGCATCAACGGATGCTGCCCATAAAGCAAGTAATAGGGCGAATAGCCCGTGGTTTTCTTCGTAGTAACTCGATCTGCCCACAGCGCGTATCCAACAAAGTCTGGCCATTCGTTGGTCCTCCCTTGGAGAACGCGCCATATACTCTCAATCCAAACTCCGTGCCCTCGCTCAACTTTCCCGTTCGCGCCTGGGTTGTATGCCGTCGTCCTCACGATTGGCACTTTGTACTTGTCCATGAGAACTTGGGCCGCACCCTGAAACTCGCTACCGTTATCTACCGTGAGTTGAAAGATACATCCAAACCGACACATCACGTCGAACAAAAATTTGGCTATTGCTTCAGACTTGATATTCTTAAGCGCCTTAGCTTCAATCCAACCCGTCAGATTATCCACTAGATCCACCACGAACTTAAATCCTCCGCGACCGCGGGGCATATTCACAGTGTCCGCGTCAAACCGTCTGAGCAGCGTCTTAACATACTGCGGTTGAATTGGGATCGCGTTCCTATACGTCGATCGCATCTGGCACTCATGGCATGTCTGGCAATACCGACCGACTGAGTGGTACAAGTTCGGCCACCAGTAACTGTCTTTGATCTTCTGATATGTAGGATCTCGACCTCGATGTCCACTGCCATCGTGGGCGTCTCTAATAATCCTCACGCGAATCTCTGGACTGAGGACAACTTGCAAAAGGGGCTTATCCCCGTTCCTTTTCCACAGCACTCCTTCATAGATGAGGAAGTTTCTTGCGCGATTGATCAGCTGGCGCGCTACACGCTTGTCCGCTGGAATCGTCCCCAAGTGGAGGAATGATATTATTTCCTTCCAATACTGCTCTGAATCGTACTCTTCCGTCCTGTGAGGGTGCTCTAGCTTCTCTTTCTGCTCTTTCGGCTCGGGTTCGTCTGCCCTTCCCTCATACACTTCACCATCTCGCTTGGCTCGCGCTAATCTCTCGGGTTCTAACCAACTAACCTCGAGCGCCTTGCACTCTCCGCTTCTACGATCAAGACGAGTATCCTTGACCCTCAGGTCCTCGTCAACATCAAACTCTTGTTCCAGAATCTCCATGCTGGAAACTTCGCGGAACTCCTCGTTGTAAGGCGTGTCCAGAGCCTTCACCAACTTCACTCCCTCCTCTACGTCGATCTCACCGTCACTATACTCGGAATCCTCCTCTGCACTTCTTCGTCTGGAGAGTCCATCTGGGGCTCTGTGCTTCTCAGCAGGATTGTGTTCAATCTCGAAGCTAAACATCAAGATGAATGTTATCCATCTCGTCATCGCCGCGTTCGGCAAGTCTGGCGAATTTATCATTTGGATCAAAGATATCGCGTCGACCTGAAGCTTGAAATGAATGTTGTATAAACGGTGCCTTTCTGCCTTGAAAGCCCGTAGTACTCCATACAGTTCCAGTTTCGGTTGCGAGTATCTGCTCTCAACTTCGTTGAACGTGAGGGATCCGAAAACGATTGGATACACCCCATCCTCAAAACGCTGGTTAATGAGCCACCCGACTCCTATGACTGAAGAGTCAACTTGGATCGTGACTAGGCCCAAGTCTGTCTCCCGCTGGTTCTTGGGTTTCACTGATGACGCGAGCTGAAAGTTCAACGATCTGATGGGTACCGCTCGCGATGCTAAATCTTTAAGCTCTATCATCGCCTGCTCGGCCTCATTCGACCATTTGAACTCATGCGGCGCCATCTTCTTCGTGAGGAGTGTAAGAGGCTTGGCGACTTTCGCGAAGTCCTTAATCCAGCGCCTCACGACTCCAACAGTTCCGAGAAATCCTCTCACTTCAGACGGATTCTTACACGAGGGCCAGTTCTTAAGCTTGGCCGTAATCTCATGGGATATATGCATCCCGTCGATCGATACTACCGCACCCAACATAGCTAAACGCGGAGTAGCCAACACCATCTTCGTCCCTGACACCGTCGCTCCACTCTCCTTGATTCTCGCTAGCAACTCTTGTAGATTATGCGCGTACTCCCACACGAACTTCCTGATCTGCGGATTCTCTGGAATCGACTCATCGTTACTACGTGTCTTGGGACCCTTAAGCGCGCAGTCGTCTATGAACACGTCTGCCTTCTCAGGTATCATGGGCTCGATCATATGAGTCGTGCGTCTCTGAAATTCGACTGGGGAGTTGGTGTATCCCTGAGGCAAGGTTGTCTGCCTCAGCGATCCCATCCTATAAGCTCCAAACGTCGTCATATCCCGTGAACTGGGCGCTAAGACGACACTGTCGAATCCACTCTTCAAATCGAAAATCCCATAAATCGCTGAACCCGCGAAAGAATCCAACATCTCGTCTATTCTCGGCAACGCTGCTGCATCTCTAATCGACACTGCGTTCAACGGTTGTAGATCGTGGACGATCCTAAGACTATGGTCCTTCTTTTCCACCGCGAAAAACCTTGCTCTGTAGGAGGACTGGGATGGTTCGTATTTCCCAGCGTCCATCTGCTCTCTCATCATTCTCAGTATCTCTTCCGTTCTCGCTGAAGGCAACCTCAAAGGCTTGATCTGCCACGGCGTATGAGGCACTGTCCTCATGACATAATCCGGATAGTACTTCCTGTTGAAAGTGCCTCTCTCGGAGTCTGTAAACGCTATAGCGTTCTCGTACTGCTTCAACACATAAGCCAATAAGTTCGTCTCTGGCTTCGTCAAAAACTCTGCTGGCACCCGCGCTATGATCTTCGCCATACGGTCTCTCGTCAGCCGACCGCTCAACTCCACGTTCGCAAACTCCGGGGGGTTGGTCGGCAACTGAGGCAGTTCCTCAACCTCTATAGGTGCATACGTAGGCACAGTCGCCTCCGGATCATGCATTGCGACCGGCAATATCTTTTGGGCTACAGGCTTGTACTTAGCGCCCATCACTGCTCTCGCGAATCTTCTCGCCGTGCCCTGTGCTTCCTCTTGGCTCATTCCTCGGGCCATCAGAACTTTCTCGACTCTAGTTGGCATAGGAGGACTCTCTGGCTCCTTCACGATATGCCAAACTCGCTTCACCGCTCTCAAGATTGAGGGCTCTTCAATTTCTTTCAACGCGACAATGGTCTCAAGGCTGTTAGGCCTAAGCTCTTTCGAGCTTACCTCTCCCGTCTCAAGAGTCTCGAACACGTTGGCAAGGCGCGATAGGAACACTGGCGCTTCCTTGGCTTTAGGGTCGTCGCCCGGCTTAACCTTCTCTAGATCAAACTCTGCCATCGCCGAATTCAATCTCTTACGAGCATACGCTGGAAAAACGTTTCTAGGCGCTGAAAGAATAGGCAGCTTGATCTTCACGGAAGCGCCATTTTCTCTGTCTCCTTCATTCCAAATCTGTATCTCCATTCCCATACCCTGAACGTAATCGATGCGCGTGCTATGGCCGAACAACCATGGCTGGCCCAATATAATATCCTTGCCGTTCAGCTTATCTCGCGTGATGAAAAAATTGTGAGGAACTTCAACACCTCCGATGGTAACGGGTACGTCTCTACACAATCCCTCTAACGCTACTTGATGACCGGAAACGCCTCTCAGCGTCCAGGTGGCTCCAGCTGGGTCGATCGGTAACTCTAACGCGTCAGCCTGCTCGCTGGTCATAATGTTGAGTTCACTTCCCGTGTCGATCAACATCGTACACGGGCGCTTATAAATCACTCCTTGAACCTTCGCAGTAACCATCGCTAGAAACGAGGGTGGCCGCTTGACGTGGTTTAGATCTGCCACACCGTAAGCACGCTCATACTCTGACTCCAGCATGCGCTGATAGTACAAATCCGCTAACTCTTCGATTGATCCAACGTAGGTACAGTCATCGCTATCGTCTACATCGAGACTGGCTATCTCAGTCGAGATCGGAGAATTTTCGTTCGAAATCAAAGAAACCTCCGCGTTCATAACTCTCGCATCCTCTTCTTCGTCCGTCATGTACTCTACGATATTAGTCTGCCTCGTAGGAATTCTATGAATCCTTGTCGCTGCAGTCAACCGTTTGTTAAGTTCGTAAGATGTCCCAAAGATCGTTCCCAACGGAACGGTGACCTCCTGATTCATCAAACGTTCAAATAAGTCGTCATTCTTGACCCGTTCCTGCAATTCTGACGCAAATCGATATGCTGGGCCCGACTTCTGTCTGAAGTTTGTCCGCTTCGGGTCCTGCACCTCAACATTCTCAGGCATCTTCTTGGTCTTACTCGTACTGGGTAGCGTTCTCGGATTCGGCGCGACCTGAGGGTCCGCCCTCTGCTTCCCCTTGTCTCGCAAGGGTTCCTCTCGATCAACGTCCATTTTCGATGGACCACTCTCTGGAGGCGTCCTCTTAAGAATTACCGGGGGCGCTGGCACTTCAACATATGCCCTATTCGGTGGCGCCGCGTGCTTCCTCAACTCATCCTGCGGTATTACTCTGACTTGGGGTGGAGGCGGTGGAGGACTCTTCGGCCGTTCGTAAGGTTTCGACTTAGATGGCCTTCCCCTCTCCTTCTCCGTTCGCTCTGCTGGAAACACCTCGTATACAGCGTCCCCTAGCCCTCCAAACTCATGATTCGCGGTCTCAAAATCAAAATCCCGCATCCATTCTAAGTTGGCTGTCGTAGTGCGCATCGCGGCTCTCTGCCTGATCAAATGCGCCAGCTTCTCTCCAAAAGCTCGGGGTAACCTACTACCATCTGCCATAACCAATCTGTTGGTGGCATCGTACTTCAACACTCCCGCCGCTAAAAACGCTCTCGTCTCGGGGCATTCCTTAACCCCGTGTCCCTCATCGTCGCACATGTAACACTTCAAAATTCCACCCGTGGATACCTGAGGCCCAGCTCTGGGTCTGTTTTCCGCCTTAGCAAGTTCAATCGTGAGCTTGCTGATCCTATCTGCGAGATCGTCCATGTTGGACTTGAAGCCCGCGTCAGGTT